GGGGCAGTAAATTGAGACGAGGAGACAAGAACCACAAGAGGCAGGTGGGCACAGTGAAGTCTGGAGCTTCAGTGAAGACACCAAGTCTGAAGCTGAGAGAGCAGCAATGGGGAAATTCCTAAGTGCAGGGGCCTCGTGTGTTTCTCTACCAGCAACCTGGCTCAGGTCAAGCTGATGCGGTTCTTGATGGAAGTTGACGCCTATTCTCTGCAGAGTGCAATACAGGCTAACTGTAGTCCGACATGCTGGGAGGAAGTGAGGAGCAGGCTAGGATGTGGGATCCGTGTCAAAGGAACGCCTCTCTCCTGGAGGGCCTGCGGCTTCACTGCTCTCACTGCCCTAACTGGGGAAGACATCCTAGCCTGGACGCCTCGTCTCCAGCGTCTCTCTCTGCTAGGCCAACAAGAAGTGAAAGTGGTGTGATGAAGCAAGGAGTTTCCCGTCTCTGAATTTCCTTCTGGCTTTTGCCTTGCCCTTCCTTCTTTCCGGAGATGAAGCTGGGGCGTTCAGAGGAACGCGTGGGCTCCACCATGTCTGCTCGCCTGGAAACGCAGCAGGTAAGTCATCCACCGCTGTGCATGCAGGAGAAGGGGACAAGAGGAAGGGGACGGGAAGCCAGCCAGATGGGCAAGCAGGCTGCCTTCGGAGGAGAGGGCTGCTGTGTTTTCCAGAACGCATGGCTGAAACTCAAGAAGGATGTTGGGGGTTTGTTGGGAGATGGGGGTGGGGGTGGGGCATGGTTTTGCTCTCTGGCGCCCCCTGCTGTAGCTGGGCAGATTGGATACTACCATGGATGGGGGCGAGAGTAGAAATCACCCTCAACACTTAACAGCAGTTAATTTGGGTGGCGCTATCTGAAACACAGATGCCCAGGGCCTGGCTTGAACAAGATGAATATCATGGTAACGGGGAAGATAGGAACGAGCCACCGGCAGTGGTCCACAGCCTTCACTTCTGCCATGCTTTGGGAAGCTAGAATTGCTTGAGTCAGAACAGGGACAGACGTTAGAGCTTACCCAACCCAACCATGACTTGGTGGCCAAGGGAGATGTCTTGGAAAATACATATTGCAGGGAAAGGAAGGGGTGATAGTGGCACAGGGCGCACAGGACAACAGGGACATGGGTGGCTGGAAGTCCCTCCCTCTCTTCCAGGCTGTCCATAAGAGTTTTGGATAAGGCCTTAAATGAGTCTTCAATAATGCACTGGAGATGCTGGGGTGCAAGAAAAGAGCACATGGGAAGAGCAGGCTCCTGGAGCTCAGCGGAATGGGACAAGGACATGCAATGCAGGGAAAAAACTGGCGGTCATGAAGATTAAAAGGTGGAGAGGCGAGCAAGGCCTTCAGTGCTTTCCTGAAGTCACCGCAGCAGCTGGAATGCCTGGGCTGGAGCCCCTTCCTGTACTGCAAGAACACGCTCAGAGATGAAAAAGACATAAATACGTGGGCTGAATGTGATCTTCACATTTCAGGCCCATTAAATAACCACAACTCACATGGAGATAAATCTCAGTGTAGTTTCTGAATTACAAGAATAAATGTTCAAATCCTACCAGCACCAAATCAGGAGGAAAAAAAAAACACACACACACACAAAGGAATATCAATCAAGCTGATTCCAGAGGCTTTTCTTCTGAAACCCTGGAAGAGCATGGATTAATCGCCATAGCCACAGTGTTTGGTAAAGAAGGATGACGACCTGAGAATGGTAGATCCAGCCAAGTCTTCATTCCAACATAAAAGCAGTGTCAGGAATGCTTGTGCTCAGAGAATATACTCCTCGAATACCCTGTGGTGTCTTAGGTCATTTCTGTAGACATCAGGCAATGGGACAAAGACCTGCATACCTTGCCTATAGGTTCACTGGGAGGTTTGCTCCAACCCAACACTTAGGGGCAGAGAGAAACATGCAGGGGAGAAGTGAGCTGTAATAGATTACAGTGGAGCTCATGGCCTATCCCACTGGGGAACTCTGGAGGTGGGCCTTATATTCCTGCAGTGATGTGTCCCCCAGTGTGGCTGCTCTAGGGCGGATGAGTGGCCTTGGTCCAGGCAGCCATCTTCCACTGAAGGCAATTCACACAGGGACTCAACTGCGACCACCAGCAGGTGGGAAAATGTGTGCCTATATCCTGAAGGGACTTTGGTGGCCTCTTTAGTTCCACCTGATTCTTCTTCATTGCTTTTTGTAAATCCAAAGGCATTCTGTGGCCAGGAAAGGGATAAGTATGATAGTCTAAAGAGACTGAAGAGGTTCCTTAGTACATTCTTTGAAAGATTCACTCATTTACTTGAAAGGCAGAGTTACAGAGAAAGGGAAGGGAGGGAAGGTGGGGAGAGGGAGAGAGAGGGGGAGAGGGAGAGAGAGAGGGAGAGGGAGAGGGAGAGGGAGAGGGAGAGGGAGAGGGAGAGGGAGAGGGAGGGAGAGAGAGAGAGAGAGAGAGAGAGAGAGAGAGAATCGTCCATCCTCTGGTTCACTCTCCAAATGGTGATACCAGTCAGTCTGAAACCAGGAGTCAGGTCTCCATCCAGGTCTCTCATGTGGGTAGCAGGGGCCCAGGGGCTTGAGTCATCTGCTGCTGCTTTCCCAGGCACATTAGAGGAAGCTGGATGGGAAGTGGAACAGCCGAGACTTGAACCAAACCTCCTATGGGCTGTTGGCATCACAAGCAGAGGCTTAACTTTCTATGCCACAACGCTGGCCCCACTAATCCATTTTTAACTCCAAGCTTGGCTTGGTTATATGAGTACTTGATAATGTCCATGGAAAAATGGAATTAAAAAAAGCTTATTTTGATGCAAACATTTTGAAATCCATGCATATAAGGGGGTCTTTAAGGAGTTTGTGGAAATGCATATTATAAAAGCTATGCATGGATCTGGAACATTTTTTGCAACAAAGTATATTTTTCATAATATTCCCTTTTATCTCCACAATCTTCTTGAGGTACCTTTCATATGTTTCACAGGAGCCAAAGGGGCAAAGATGGGTGCATTGGTTTTCCCATTTCAGCCTTTTCATTGCTCTTAGAAGTGCTTTCCACAGCGAAGTGGACTTTTCCGCTACCATTTAGCCCACTCAGAAGAACAAGTGGTATCTTTCCTTTCTATTTCTCCAAAGAAGTTTAGCATACTGTGCTGGGAAGATGAACAAAAAGACTTCCATTTCTTCTACAGGAAAGCAAAATTAGACATGGAACGATCACAAGGAATTTGGGGGGCATCTTTTCGTGTCTCGTGGGGCCGGCGTGTAACGTGGTGGTAAGGACACTGCTTGTGATGCTTGGATTCCGTATCCAGGCGTGTGGGTTTGAGTCCAGTCTCCTGCTGCCATGCACCCTGAGAGTCAGTATAATTCAGTTTTCACAAGTGAGATTCTACACTGCTGACCTGGAAGGGCTGTGACAGAGCAGAGACTCTGAGGGGAGGGGATTGAAGGGAAAGTCTCACCTTTCATTCCATACTCTTCTCTTTTACAAAAAGCACATAAAGAAAACCCTCATCAAGGTTATTCATTTAAATCAGACGTTAGGCTGATTCCTGTAACTTTAATTCCTCCTAACAAGCGATCAACGAGTCACTTAGCGGCAGATACAGTAGCTGACGGAGCCCTTCTTCATAATGACCTCTGCCCTGCACTTTGGTTGTTCAAATCTCAGAGTTAGTGCGTGCGGAGTGACTGCAACTAAACATGGAAATAAGGCTGATCCCAAATTATCTCTTGGAGGTAAACATTTGGGCGATTTAAACTTCTTAATTTACATTTTACTGTTTCGTATTTTCTAAGTGTCCTGCAATGAACAGAACTGTATTTCAAATCAATGTGACTACACATCTACCATAGGAATACAAACTTAAAATAAATCCAAATATTAACTGCTATCATTCTGGAGAGGAGGAATAGGATAATAAGTGGTTTCTTTCTTTTGTCAATGTTTTGGATTTTTTTTTCACAATATTTTTTTGCATGTTACAAAGGAATAAAACATTTTATATTTCCTTAAGGAACTCATTGATTTCACTTTTTAAATTTTATTTATGAGGGAGAGACAGACAAACCGAGATTGCCTATCAGCTGGTTCATTCCCCCAGATTCCCGCAACAGCATTCAATCCAGGTCTCCTATGTGGATGGCAGGGATCCAAAAACTCGAGCCATTACCTGCTGCCTCCCAGAGTGTGCGACAGCAGGAATCTGGAATTGGAAGTGGAGCGAGGACTAAACCCAGACATTCAAACACAGATGTGGGTGCCCACGCAGTGTCTTAACTGCTGTGCCAAACACCCTCTCTTGTTTGTTTTGTTTTTAAATTAAGACTGCACCCACCAGATCTTCACTTAACATGCTCTTTGGGAAGTTCTTCTTCCTTAGTCTAAGCCCCTCTTGCTGCTGGGGCTGTCACAGATGACAAGCCAGCTGGAATTATGTCCCTCCTCATAGCTCCCATTCAGGAAGTAAGCTGGACTCCAATCAGACTGACCTGCAAGGAACTGGAGCAGAGCTCCTTCCTAGGCAGCAAATGGGGCTGAGTGTGTGAACGGGAGTGACGGATGGTGTTTGACGCTTGCTCCCAACTATGCATGAAAATCTCCTTACCATAGAGCTCTGGGAAGCCTTGCAAGATGTAACTTTTCCCCAGCCTGGTCCTGTCATTCACTTGGGAGGAAAAGGGTCAACCCTGCACAGCCTGTAGCCTCACACTGGGTTTGGACTTTGGGCCACCTTATATTTCTGCTCAGTGCATATCACTGTCCAAATATTCTACACATGTTGGCCTCTCAGCTGTCTCTCCCCAACAGTGTAAGTTCCGTAAGACAGGAATTGTGTATTTTTTCCCTCGATGATATCTCTAGCCTAAGAACAATCCCTGGCACATTTTAGGGGCTCAATAAAGATTCATCGGAGGAAAGGAAGGCAAGAGGAAGGGGGAAGAAGAAGGAAAGAAAGGGAAAGAAGGCAGGAAGGAGGAAATGGGGGAGAAAGCGACAAGTCCACAAAGACACGAGATGCATTTTTATAAACAATGTTCCATTCGTTTTATTATTTAAATCTGACCTGCATAAGATGATGGTTAATCACATTTAGCTCCAAGCGTCCTTGGGACATGAACCAGGGACAAGCCCAAGATGCAACTTTACTCCTCACTATTGGGTCCAGGGGCTGCAGCAGTCATCCCTGTCACTTGATTTGTGTCCACTGAGGCTCTGATGGCCCCAAATGCCAGCAAATCAGATTTTCTCAGGTGGCAATGGGCAAGGGGGTCATCACTTACGATGGGGAGTAGGAGGGGGCCCTGACTGCACCTCCCTAGCAGTCTGCAATGATGGTGAAACAGGAGAGGCCACCCAGGGAACATCAGAATGTTCCTAGCGCCTGGAAACTCCTGGGTGGAGAGGCTCCAGTGGTGCCAACCCCAAAAAGGACACGGCTCCAAAGATGCCCTACAAGAAACAGAAGCTTGAAATTTCTGAGAAGCGGCATCCATTCTCCTCCTTCTTGCGCTCTCGCCCCATTTCTCTCCCTCCCTCTTTCACATTCACTCCATTTCCAAGATGCCCTCCAGTCATATCCAGGCAGACAGACAGCACATCTGCACGGGTGTGCAAAGATGCGGCACACTCATGCCTCTCGCCACTGTGGTGCCCTCCTGTGCAAGGGCCGGCCTGCTCACACGTTGGTGTGCTGAGAACCAGATGAGGCTCTGCTGCTCAGCTGGCTTCGGCCCGAGGGTGCGGAGCTGGCTGCACGGCTCCCCCTGCTGCGGTCCCTGCCACCTGGGCTCCGCTGGGCTGGTTCATCAGTGACCTTGAGCTTCCCGTGCTCCTCTTTCAGGAAGAAGTCCACCAGCAAGCTCTTCTCCTTCTTGATCTGGTCACTGATGTCCGTGGGGATGTCTGGGATCATCCAGTCCACAAGGACACTCAGGAACATCACAAGGTTCTGCCAAAATGCAAGGGAGGGTGGAGGTGAGCAGGGAGGCAGAGCATGTGGTACGGTGCTCAGAGGCTCAGGCGGACAGGGGCATGCTATTGTCTACCCTTGCCCGGTCACAGTGACCATCTCCACTGCACACCATGGCGTGGTGTCTTGGGGCAGGATACCTCCATGCTAGTTCTGGTTCTGCCATGTGCCAGCCAGGGGAACTCAACCAATGTGCGCCCTTGAGCCTCAGCACTGTGGTTTGTAAAGTAGAGTAGTAGCAGGAACTTCCCCTGGGGCTGTCGTAGGGAGTAAAAGAGTTAACACGCATGGAACACCTAAGCCAGCACCTGGCACTGCAAGGTTGTGCTTCCACCCTTCCGTGGGACTTGGAGCGCCCCTTCCCAACTCCGTCCTCGGGATGTCCTCACAGGTCTCACTCTTGCTTCTTGACACTGAAGCCTCCAGGCAGGGACTGCACCACAGCCTCCCAGGAAGTAGCCATGAGGCCCAGTGGCCTCCCTGTGGCTCTTGCAATGCCAGGGGCTCCTCTCTTCCCTTTTGGTCACCTGTGGTCATTATACTGACTTCTGGTCTCTGTCAACCCCACCCACCACTCCCATTCCCCTTGCTGGGCTCTCTTTGACCTCATGGCCACTCTGCAAAAGCTTGGGAGCACTCTCCCTCGTCGGTCCCAAACTCTCGTGCACACAGCTAATGGGCTTCCTTCTCCTGGCTCCTCAGTCTTGTCTCTTCTCTTGTACACAACACAGATGGGCTACAGCTTCCTTCTCCTGGGAGCATGTTCTCAGTACCTGGCATGGCCCCATAAATGCCAGCAATCTTTAGAGTCTGACTCTCATCCCTTTCACCAGGCTTCCTTTACCCAAAGGTGATATTCCCTGGCTGCCAATCTGTCCTCTTCCCGCTGAGATCCTGAGGGTAGTGACTGGGCCCCTAGGTCCCAGATGCTCCCAAGGATCGGGGAAGACTTTGAGAACTCAACTGCTTCTTCCAGAGGCTCCCGGGAGACTTGGGTGCCTGTGAGTTGCTTCATTAGACCTTAACCCTCTTCCTCTCAGGCAGCTCCCACAGTGCAGGTGACACGGGACATGGGACATGGCTCCTGCAGGTAGGGCAGCCAGGGGACAGCTAAGTGATTTTTCAAACCTATCGGCCCATCTCCACAGGGGAAGAATGGCTGTCTCTGGGTGAAAGACTAGCCGGAGGGCTTCTCCACTTCCTGGGCTGAGGTCCCAGGGAGCGGATACTTTAGAGGCCTCCAGAGATCTGCTAGTAGAGAATACAAAAGCTGGAGGGAGACCAAGAGAAAAGGATCCGGCCTTGTACACAGACCCTGCTTGAAGACCGGCAGGACCCCAAGTGGGAACTGGGGGCCCTGGAGCTCTGAGAATCTCAGCGATGCAACTGGAGCTGTGGGGATTGTCTGAGATAGGAATCGCCAGGCTCGAGTTTGCTATTCACCCAGGGATGCCGAGGTGGCTCTGGGCCCTTCCCACCAGATGTCTCAAGGGCTAAAACAACACTAACAAAGGAGGGAGCCGGGGGCGAGAAGAAAGGCTCAGAACTTGAGCCCTTTCTAGGGCTTCCGAGATGAGATGGGCTGTTTGTGCGAATGAGGCCTGCGACTCCGGTTTCACTTGCTCTCCCCACTTCCCTTTCTTTGTCTTGGGCTTAAAGGGGGGATTCTATCCCCACCCTGCAACTCACTCCACATCTGTCTTGTAATCTTACGCTGTGGCGTTCATTCTCCTTCTGTAAAGTCCCCCCTTGAAAAGAAGCCCCCTCGGGGGTACCCCTGCCTGCTACATGCAAAGGCTCCTGTGTCACAGGGGAGAATCGGCTCTCCTTATCCATGGATTCCACCAACCTTGCATGGAAAACATTTGAAAAGTCACTGTACTGAACATGTACAGACTTTTCTATTCTGGTCATTATTCTACAATCAATACAGTAGAAAAACCAATTACACGACATTTACATTGTACTAAGTATTATGAAGTCATCCAGAGATTAAAGTATGATGGAGGGCTGCGTAGGTTATATGCAAAGTCTATAGCATTTTATATAGGAGACTTAGGGGGCTCACAGATCTTGGCATCTGAGGGAGGTCTTGGAACCTGGATCGAATTCTTTTATTTTTTATTTTTTTATTTTTATTTTTTTGACAGGCAGAGTTAGACAGTGAAAGGGAGAGAGAGACAGAGAAAAAGGTCTTCCTTTATCTGTTGGTTCACCCCCAAGTGGCCGCTATGGCTGGTGTGTTGCAGCTGGCATGCTGCGCCGATCCAAAGCTAGGAGCCAGGTGCTTCCTCCTGGTCTCCCATGCGGGTGCAGGGCCCAAGCCCTTGGGCCATCCTCCACTGCCTTCCTGGGTCACAGCAGAGAGCTGGACTGGAAGAGGAGCAACCGGGACAGACTCCGGCACCCCAACCGGGACTAGAACCTGGGGTGCTGGCGCCGCAGGCAGAGGATTAGCCTAGTTGAGCTGCAGGGCCGGCCCTGGACTGAATTCTAATCAGCTAATCCTAAGTGAACTCACCTGGAAGATGATGACAAAAGCCAGACGGGCAGACAGAACAGACCAGTACTGTTTGGAAAACTCATATGGGTTCGGGGCCCACGGCGGCTCTCGGTAATCCTTAAACCTGTCCCAAGAGAAACGCAGCGTTAAGATGGGGAGGAGACACGGGAAAAGCTGGTGCTGCTCTGTGTGAAACCTCAAGGCTTGGAGCAGCAGCCACACCCTTGGCCTCAGACATGAGAAATAGGGGACAGAAGGAGGAAATCCACAGCCCAACCAAAAAATGCCCATGGAATAAAAGGACTCAAGTCCAAAAAAGCCAGTGCCAGCCTACATGTGTCTTTTTCCTGCTCTTCCTCTGACATCCCCAACAGCTGTCCCTGGTTTCAGGATTCAGCTCCCCAGTGAGGTCAAGGATCATGAGAATAACCCAGGCCTATGGGTCCATCTGGGCTCTCCACAAGCCTGTGGGTGCTGGAGGTGGCAGGGAGACCTGGAGAGGCCTGATGTGGGCTCTGCCGCCTGTGAGTTCACTGAAGATGCAGGCGCCAGCAGGCAAGCCCAGGCTTCTCTACGGTCAGCTGCTTTAAGGCCATGACTGCCAGAAGGAATGGCCTTGGTTCTTGACTACAGCCGCCATCTTGAACCAAAAGGAACACGGAGTCAGATCATGCCAAAGGCCGCTCAGACATGAAGTGGGAGGGTCAACAAGAGTCCCAGTTGGTTGGGATTCTGATTGACCAACCACCTTCACGGCCTGCACATGTGGCTTAACAAACAAAAGGTTAGTGCTCAACCTAAGCTCACGCCTCTGTCTCAGACAAAGCAAGAGACCTGAGGTTTTCCCTCACCCCTTTTCAGCCCCTTCCTGGCATGTTTCATGCTGACACTGGCTCGTTGTCACCGACTCACATTTTTCTGAGTCTGGAAAAATGACAAGGGGCTGGTTCTAGAATGATAACCCTTCGTGGAACTGTTTTCTCCATGGACTGCAGCAGAACTTCAAGGCTCAGTAATATCAAAACAAGCCCAGGGCTGGAGGAAGAGCTGTCAGGGCCACCAACCAGTGAGTGTGCAGCTGGGTGCTCACTCTGTCCAGAGAGGACCAGGACAAGCAATGATCACACAATGAACGTTCAGGGTGTGTGCTAATCCCTGAGCCCAGGGCTTTCATGAATGCTTTCTCTTTCACCCTTCGCAACACCCCTAGGCAGGTGTTGTGACCCTGACACAGTGCAGGAGGAACCTGAAGTTCACAGAAGTTCAAGTACTCGGCCAGCAAATGTTGGCATCAAGGTAAGAACGCAAGTCCGACTGGATTCACACTTCTCTCGGTGGCCACAGAGCACCTCACCAACAGCTGCGATTGGGATGAGGGATTCATAAACAGAAGCCCTTTGGTCCCGTCCTCTGCCCCGAGGGAACCAGCTGCTTTCAAAGATCTGCGTAAAATCACAGATCCAAGAAGCCATGAGAGAAGCAGGAAAACACAAAGAACGAGAGGAAAAGGGAACGCACAAAGATGGAAAAAGACAGAGCCAGAGAGAGAGAGATGCACTGAGAGGTGCACGCTGGGCTTTCAACTAGGGTTTGGCAAGAGGCCAGGAGCTGCCCCTTCCCACCCGGATCCCCCCACCCCCAACCCCTCCTCCAACAGCTGATCACAGCTGTCGCAAGCTGGGGTCAACGCTGGATGAGAAGCAAAGCTGACTGCAACCCAACAGAACACCACGGGATTCGTCATCTCCATCCATGGCTGACGACAGAAACTCGGCTGGCTCCAGACAATCCCAGCTAATGGGAGAAGGGAAGAATGTGGCCAAATATATAATGACCGTGTGGGGGTGGGGAAAGACAAGCCCACCTACCCTCCTGCTGCCCCTGGAAGGGACCCCATGGCAAGAAGAAATTAGCCTATTCCTCTCGAGACCACCAGAGAAGGGGTGCTACACACACACACACACACACACACACTCCTGGCCATGGGGAAATGCTTCCCTAGGATCAGCCCAGTCCCTCCTGCTGCCAGGACAGTCCATTTCTCTTGTTTTTGAGCTCCATCTATAAGGGAACAGCTGCTTGCTGACCTTGGTATGACAGCCATTGCTCGCCCTTCTTGTTTCCAGTCTGAAAAGAATCCATAAATAATCTAATTGTGGTTCCACCTCTGCTCCTAACACCCACAGCTTTTGGAAATGTCACTCTGCTCTCCCCGAGTGTCCGGAACATGTTTTGACTCCAACAGGCGCATCCATCTAATCGAGTATCTGGCGAAAGATGAACATGAAGATCTGTCCAGAGAGGTCTCCTTGCAAATACCTCCAGGCAGATGTGTCGGGAGCTAGGAGGCAAGCCGTGCCATGGCCGGGAACAACGAGCAGTTTAATGAATTATGCATCTGTTCACATTTCTCTTTCCAAAGCTAACTTTATAAAAACTGTGGCCTGTATACAGACAGAAACAGAGGAAGGTACTTCAGCAAGTCAGTAGGAAAATGGAAACGAAAGATAACGCTGTCTGAGGACTCTCTGCATTTCACATTGGTGCACACAGACACACAAGCGTATGTCCCATAGATGAAAATCACACCCAATGTACTTAGCCCAGCTGTGTGTCATGCACTGACATTTTTCCATTCCATTCTATTCTCTTTTTCCTCTCCCATCCTAGCCTTTAGAATGCTGATCACAACCCACTGAAGTGACTTCATGATCCACTAATGAAGCGTGATTCAGAGTTTGCCAAATGCTGATTCCAGGAAAACTCTGCCACAGGTAAATGACTGGTTGTTTACATCCCAGTCTAAATTCAGATTTCATAATTTTTGGGAAAAAAAAGTCTCCCTGAGTCAGGCTTATCAAATGTTTTCACTAACCAACCAGAAGGCACTAATTAAACAAAGAGATAATTAACTTGCAGAAGGGAAATGTTCACCAGAGTGGCTAATGGACTTAATTGCTTCCGCCACTGTGATAAATGGTCTGCGTTGTTTGTTTTGTCTCGGAGCCACACAAGTTTGCATCCTGGAGTCGGCCCAGCCTGAACGCCACCGCCTGCCTTCGCGCTCTGTACACTTGCAAGGGATCCGCTGGCCTCACGTCCTGTGTGCTCTTCTGCAAAACAACGCTGCAACTCGCGGAGCTGTTCCGAAGACGAAGCGTCCCTGTGAGCAGCTCAGCATGCTTCCCGGCCCACCAGAACTCAGCAAATAGAAGCAGTTCTTTCTCTTGCTACTGCGGGCAGACAATGCAATACCCTGACCTCTTAGAAGAGGACACAGCACGTAGGCGATCGCTCCCTTTCTCCGGGCTTTCTAGAGGATTTCTGTGCACGCCAGCACCAAATGCTCTGAGTTTCCCACAATGCTGAGGCGGATTCAAAGGAGTCGGCCACTCAGACTACAAGGGGGCTTCTCTCGGGTGACCAGGTCAGTGGCATGAAACAGGTAATCCTCAGGCTAGGAGGAGGAGGAGGAGGCCCTGCCAATGGGGAAGTAGAACTGCCGGTCCATTCCTGTCAACTCAAATGACCTCCAACACCACACCTATTCCCCTGGGTTGGGGAGCTTTGGTCTTTTAAAGTGACATTGCTGGGTGAACCCCAACATCCGGTCATCTTCCTGCAGCTGCTGGCCGTGATGCCCAAGGGGAAGCAAGGGTTTAATCTTGCGGGTAGACCCTACCTTCCCACCCTTCCAGTCCTCCCTGTTTTACTGCAGAGTCTCCTGTGAGGCTTCTAATAAAGCCAGACTTTCAGTAGTGAGACAGCCAGGCTATGTATAAAGCAAGTCTGCATGTGGAGTGGTGACATCACTTACCAGCAAAGACTCTAAATTGCTCACATCCCTGAACCTAAGCCTCCCAATCCTCCCAGTGGACCTGGCAGAGTGCGTGCCACAGGGCTGAGTGCACAGAAGGTCCGTGCTTGGGCTGTCTCTCCCAAGAAGACATGCACGGTGCATGCTGTGTGCACTCAATGTCAAAGGAAGACACAATGTGAATTAAGTAAGACAATACATGTGGATGTGACTTCCGGAAGCTTCCACAGAAAACAGCCACAGTCATTTCTCCAGGAGAAAGTAAGTGGGCACTGAGAAGGAAACATTTTCTTCTCTTCTTAGCTACACGTATGCCTACAGAATTGCTTTCATAATTTTAAAAGAAGAATGCAATTAACGATAATATCCAATGGACCCCAACACATTTTTATACTAAGCTTTGGTGTGGGGGAGGGGCAGTTAAAGTGATAAAAGGGACAGATTTTCATGATAAGTGAAACTGGTACCAATATTAACATTTTTTGCTAGCTTTAAAATTATGAGTATTTATTTAGATGCTTCTAATTTCATGAAATATCAAAGGTGATTGAATTAAATGTGTGTGTTACCTAAAATTAAGGTTCCATTTACTTGAACTATTATACAACAAAGCCATGAAGCAATAATGTGAATTTCCACACATTCATGTGATGTCAATGCAGAGAAAGTCTCTGGGAAGGAGTCACATTGGCACTGCCCTGTTCACTGCAGCTTAGGACTGGACAAGGGGTAGGGCAGAGGCAGGGCAGCACTAGAATGTGGTGACCCATAAGGTTTAGCAGATCAATATATTACACGTGTCATTAAATACCAACTTAAAAAAATGAAAGAACCTTTGGACATTCTTTATTCCAAAACCCCCATTTTTCCAGATGCAAAACCCAAGAGGCAGAGATGGAAGAGAGGCTCTGGGTTCAGGTGCCTCCCTTGCCCACTCCATTCCCACCTGCATGGTGGCCAGCAAGGGACATCGGCCACACTTCATCACAGCACAAAATCACTGCGTGTGCTGGTCACCCACTGCCAGACACGGCTTTCTTATGTCTTAATGAGGTTTTAGTTATACAAAATTCATCAGTAAATGCCTTTCTCAATCCCAAACAGTGGCATGTAAACATTCTTAAACAGCCCCAGAGGAAACGAATGTCATATTAATGCCGAACACAATTATACACAATATTTGTATACCATCTGAGCTACTCAAGACTGCCCCCTGAGAGTGCCCTTTAACAAAAGGAAACCGTGCAGGCAATTAGAAGCTAATGAGAACCATGTCGATCCAGCAGTTGATAAAGATCAGGAAAGGC